AGGTCCGCATCGAGAGCCTCGGCCGCGGCATGGTCAGGAGTAGGTGAGGAAAGGAGTTGGTCTATGCGTGACTTGATCTGGTGGACCTGCATATAATCATGAAAAGTATGAAGATACTCTTTAATCGCTTTCTGGTCCTTGCTTGAAAAGAGGCGGGAGATAGCCGGGGAGATAGACTCGTGAGAGAACAACTCGGAAACATCCAGATCAAAGTAAAAACCTCTACGATCCCCGGACAATCGGTACTTGAAGGGTTTGTAAACGAAGGTGTTGATGTATGGACACAACTCTGGAGAAACAAGGGCAAAATCAATGCGTCGTTGGCCTCTGTGATACGTTGGAAAGTCAGGGTGATTTGGGTGGAGCGTCGACCATGGATCAGTAAGATCTAAATCAGTCATGAGGGACATAATTGGGGGTGAAGTGCTGGGCGTATTCCAATCTCCCATAAGAACCAGAAACAGCGGGCCCTCATGAGTTTCAACCGCGGTGGTGACAAAGTGTTTGAGATCCGGGATATAATTTTCAAAACGAATTTTTTCAAACGCAGCCGTGTTTCATCTTCGCACGACGATATGATTCTCTATTGAAAATTATCCCTAGAATTAGTACTACATCCTACACAACACAACTCAGACTCGCACCTTCTAACTTTCAGGAACCATGACCGAGCCCGACCCAAAGGGTAACAAGGACCCTCCGGATCCAACTAMCACGGACCCTCCGGATCCAACTAAGGATCCCCCATCCCCCCAGGGACACTCCAAGTCTTTCAAGGACCTCCCAGCTCCATTCCAGGGGTTTCCGGCTTCTTTCAAGCACAGTACTCCTATTATCGCTATCGAAATGGTCGATCCCGACGTCTCCACCAATCCCGACCCTAGTACAAAGGACCAGGATCCAACCCAGGACACTGATCTATCCCCACAAGGATCCACCAAGCCAATCAAGAAGCACGGCTCCAGGGTCAGAGATCTGGAAATAGCCCCGGCCCTTCCACGCTACGACCCCAAGGCCACCCCCCAACCAAGGTCACACCAGCCACCAAAGACCCTCTAAAGAGTCCGGATACGACTAAATCTCCTTGGGACCTTCTAGACAGCCCTGACGAGGCTGACTCCTCCGTTGAAGTGGTGGAAGACCGAGCTGTGATTCCAAAGAAGTCCCCCAAGAAAGTCCTTAAAACATGCGCTGCCCGACTCCAGCATAGACTCTCTAGAGGCCCCGGGTTCCCCAAAGTTACATCAATCACTATTACATGTCCCTCCACTCATGCACATTCATATTCAGCCTACTATACAACTTCACAGATGAAAAACAAAGAAAAAGCAAACAAAAACAAAAATAATCATACGACAACACCGACCCCATCCCCTCCAGCTGGATCGATGCCCCTGGAGGATGATGCATCAATGTCTCCTACTGAGGATCAATCGATGTCTCCGGAGCCATCACCTCTGGAGGAATGGTCTCCGGATGAGTCTCCGGACGAGGAGTCTCCGGATGAGGAGTCTCCGGGTGCCGCGTCTCCGGATGAATCGATGTCTGATGAATCATCTCCAGATGCATCTCTGGATGAATCTTCAGTTCCCCCTTTCGGCAATTTTCAGGCAGCTTTCATGTATAACTTGAAGAACTCCCCCATCAAGTGCATAGCTTGGGGGTCCTCTTCCTCATCTTCATCTTCCGGCAAGACCAGCATCCTCCACCAAAAGAAAAAGAAAACAAAGCTTACCGAGGAAGAACCAGTTCAGTCTCAAAAGCGAATGATTGATCCCGCACCTATGTTAACTGATTCCGTACTGAAAGCAGACTCCTTAAATGATCTAGGAGATCCAGCACCAAAAGTAGGCGCTCTAAATGATCCTATAGTCAGTGATAAATCCGAGGTGAAAGCATAAAGTGAAGCTATAGTCCCTATTGATACTTCTGAAGTATCATTGGGCCCAAAGAACCAGCCCCTTAAGTGTACTCTACAAGCGCCCGATTCAGAGAACCCACCAGCGAATAAGCCTCCAATTGCCTCCCTTAAGCGAATTATCCCAGATGACGCCATGCCCCCTGCAGAGAACCCAGTTGCACACGACCCAGCGAAATTTCCCTCTAAGTGTACTTTACAAGCGCCTGATTCAGAGAACCCACCTTTGAAGAGTACTTTTCAAGCGCCCGAGTCAGAGAACCCACCTTCGAATGAGCCCCCAGTTGAGAACCCTATGGAACTGTCCCTCCCAGACCCAGCGATTCATCCCCCTAAGTGTGGAAATCAAGCGCCCTGTTCATTACTTAATGTTCAGGAGGACCCTGCTATGATTGCCCCTGGATCATATGCAA